CCAACGGCCAGCGCACAGAGCCCAGGGCCCACAGTCCAGCAAGTCTGTGGTTTTGGAGCGTCTCCAACGGCCAGTCTGGCAGAACCATTGGCAAGGTTCCAGGGGTTTGAGGCGGCCAGTCTGGCAGAACCATTGGCAAGGTTCGAGGGGTTTGAGGGGTTTGAGGGGTTTGAGGGGTTTAAGGGGTTTGATGCCAAACGCTCCCTCTGAATCCCTAGAAAAATACCTTTTTACCTTTTCTTTCATTTCTGGCTCCGAACACCTGCTCTTAGGAACAAGTGCAATGGCAGAACCATTGGCAAGGTTCGAGGGGTTTGAGGGGTTTGAGGGGTTTAAGGGGTTTGAGGGGTTTGAGGGGTTGCACTTTCCCTGCCAAACGCTCCCTCTGAATCCCTAGAAAAAAAACTTTTCTTTCATCATTTCTTGTGCAAATTCTGCTCCCTCTGAATCCCAGAGCCCACAGTCTAGCAAGTGCGAGGTTTTGGAGCATCTCCAACGGCCAGCGCACAGAGCCCAGGGCCCACAGTCCAGCAAGTGCGGGGTTTTGGCGCGTCTCCAACGGCCAGTATGGCAGAACCATTGGCAAGGTTCCAGGGGTTTGAGGCGGCCAATGTGGCAGAACCATTGGCAAGGTTCGAGGGGTTTGAAGGGTTTGAGGGGTTTGAGGGGTTTAAGGGGTTTGAGGGGTTTGAAAGGTTGGACTTTCCAGGCCAAACGCTCCCTCTGAATCCCTAGAAAAAAAATTTTCTTTCATCATTTCTTGTGCAAATTCTGCTCCCTCTGAATCCCTAGAAAAATACCTTTTTACCTTTTCTTTCATTTCTGGTGCAAATTCTGGCTCCGAACACCTGCTATTAGGAACACGTGCAATGCCACACGCTCCCTAGAAAAAAAATTCTTTCACTTCTTGTGCAAAGTCTGGCTCCGAACACCTGACCCCGCCACGGCTTTTCCCAATCTAAGTCTGGTCCAAAACGAGCCAGTTTGTTTCCATTTGTCTCGCTCATCTTGGCCCCGAAGACCTGACCTCGCCACTCTCATACCTGCAACATGTGTCTGACCCCTAAGTGACGGTACTCCCTTGCGCGCTCCCCCTTCTTCGACCGGGGTCGGCGGATAGACACTGAAGAGGTGATGCCGTAGAACCACCGGTCTAGAAACCCTGAAGATGGCTGCCATCACGGTACATGGGGTGTATCAAGCTTCATCCCTTGTTTCTAGTAGCGATGCCCTTGTTACTGCTTCATCAGGCCCAAGCTTCATCCATCTTCTGGAGTGAGCTGGCGGATGATCCGAACTGGTTGTTGTTGCAGACAGAGAAGGCCGCCGGAGTGCCAAAATCTGAAGTCTACATCCCCGTGTCCACACATCAATTCTCTTGTGTAGCCTGCGTAGCTCTTGCTGATGCACAAGACTTGTTCGGAGGTGATCTTGAAGTGGCAGTCAGATGACGCGGAAGGCACGGTATTGAGGCCGTTTGGAGGTAACATGAGATTTGCTGCTTTAGCACGGCAGGTCCTGGCCCTTGCCGGAAGAAAGATCCGGAGCTGGCATGGGCACCATTCAATGAGGCAGTGTTGAGGCTCGAACTGAAAGGACTTAGGGGCTGAAAGGACTCTTGGCGGTCAGGCCGAGTCGAAACCGTATCAAACCCGTTTTCTGAATCCACAAGGTAGCCACACGGATCCTAGCCTCATCAATGATTCAGGCTCACCTGCAGGCTGCTGGACCAGGTGCATTGGGGGGAAGTCTGGAGCAAGGATGCAAGCTGAAGAGCTTGTTTGTGCAACTCTGGCTCTTGACTCTTGTCATTTTGTGTGTTGTGAAGTTAAGCCTGCGGCTTTTCCTCACACACCTTTGAAGCAACAGAATTCATGACATGCCCGCCTTGCAGTACCAGAGTATGAGCCAGCAGCTCCAGCAATCATGGCGCAAGGTCGAGCAAGGTGGAGTCAATGCTATTCAACATGCCGAACAAGCAGACAACCGGGCACTACTGACGTAACTTAAGACCAGCCGCAGTGCGTAATTTTTCATGGCCCTGCCCGTCTAACGCAGCTGCCCCTCGCCAATGCAGTACGAGAAGGCACCGGGCCGTTGTCTAGTCATATACTCTTTGCCTCCCAAGTGTTCAATCTTTGACACGAAATCCATTCGATGTGCTGTAGTATGAGTTACTGTATTTACTTTTTGAGTTTTTTACAGCTGGTCGGCTGGGGCTCACCAGCTCTGGCTGCCGTCTCACTCAAGCATCCGGTTTTTGGGTTCAGCGACGGTTGTCAGTTGTCACTAGACTCTTCTGTTTGTGCTGCTGGTATCTTTCTTTCTTTGTGCCACGTGTGGCGCAGGAGCACCATGCTGGGGACTGCAGGTTTCAGACAGTGGCCCGGCATCGAGTGATGTCATTCTGGGACAAGCCTTTCTTTGGAGCTCACACTTCCATTGCTGCGTATGAGGGTGCAAGAAGTGGTAGGTCTGACTTTTCCTTCAGAGAGTTTGAATATGATGCCCCCAACTGATGGTTTGATAGGCTTCATTTATTTTCTCACTTTTATTCAGATGTCTGTGTTCGAGACGCACCGAAGCAGAAGAGATTGAGGTGTTGCACACACGCACCGCACAGTTGAGGTGTTGCTGCGCAAAATCTCCGACATGGTGCCTTGCCTCAATCCTGCAGTTTGTGCAGGTTGAGTCATGATGCAACTTGAAAGTGGTCAGGATTTCGACCTGAGCCTGAATCTGAATCTCTTTGTCTGTCCTGCTTGGGGTGTACACTGGGGGGTCCTATTTCCTGTCTGAACACACAGTATATAGCGGGCTAACGGCTTTTTGCACCAAAAGCTGCTCAAGTCTAGGGTCTCATAGAGCGGATCGTCATAGCAAGGAAGGCAAATTCGCCTCACAAATGTCCAAGTTGCAGCAGCAGGCTGGGATTTGGGCGGGTATCGAAGAAAACCCAAAAGAGAGAGAGAGAGAGTACTCCTGGGCCCTTGGCTTTGTCGGCTTGCTACTTGTACGTTGGGTTGGACCTTGGCCGATCTGCTGTTGGCAATCTACACAGAAGTGAAACTGTGTCCGCTGACCAGGCCACCAATTTTTTGAAGACATTTACCTTAGCAGCTTTGGTTCAACTGGTCAATTCTAAAGTGAACCAGTTGCAGTGGTCACTAGGCCATTAGGTTGTTTAGCAGAAATCATGGCAGACATGACAAGACAAAGCAACAGACACATTTTCTTGAAGGCCTAGTGAGGTCGCCATGGAGTGTGCCCCACCGCTGTCTCACTGGGCTTCTCCTTCCAGCTTTGCTCAATTCACCCAGCCCGAGCAATTTCGGTCGTGGAAACTGAGAGGAGCTCCAGATGTCAGGGCATCCCTCTCTGCAGGCCTTGCTATAGGCCTTGTGGCCGCCCGATCGAGAGGAGTTCAGCTCAGGGCCGCGGTGAAGGTTACTGATGCCACTGGACCTCAGAAGAAGCCAGAAGAGTTTTGCAGGAAGGGCGCCAAGGCCAGCGCAATTCACTTCTTGGCGGGCACTGGTTGAGTGAATCATGCAACCCTCACACTCACATGCGCAGATACATTGACAGCATAAATGTGTGTAGAATTGCGCGCTAGTTCTTTTGAACAATGCACGATGTCATGCAAGACGCAACTAGATGTAATGTGACCGATGTAATGTAAATGCTCCTTGTTGCCAGACAAAAGCATGCGGCTTGAACTTGTAGCATGTACCCAGCTTCCAGTTCAAGAGCTGGAACTTCTTGATTCACCCATATGAGAATTACGTACTGTATACATACTTATATATGAGCGACGGGCAACAAATTATTGGTTGACTTATTTAGTCACGGGATGATCCTAAACCTGTGTTGAGGGCTTCGTTTCTGTGGAAAACGATATGGTCCCCACCAAAAGCGATAATCTTGTTGAGATGTAGTGGGTACAAAGACATTTGTGGTTACAACATGTTATCGCAGTTGCATGCTTATTTGAGCTAAACCGATGGGCACAACTTTTCATCAATGATAATCCCAGACAACTTCACGAACGATAATTCAAACGAAAAGCGAACGATAACCTAAATGTCACGCCAGGCACTCCGTAAACCTACTTCTCCACACTACTAGTGTTTGTTCATGGGCCGAGCTACTAGGTCCCCCTTATGTGTTGTGATCCTTGCACAGCCCAGTGCCACAAGAACCCAAGTGCATAAATCAAGTGCTGTGCCATTCCTGTGCAGAAAGCACTGTAAGCCTCTAATCTGAGGTTGTGAGTTATATTTTGTGTTTTAGTCTATGTGCCGGTATGCTATGCTACCTACGGTTTGGCATGTCTTGGCTTTCCCTAAGGTGGAGGTTTTGGCACCTTCCAATCGCTGGCGTGAAGCTCAAGTGGTGCGGGTTGGTGGTGGCGTGGCCCAAGTCCATTATACCGGATACTCCACGCAATTCGACGAGGAGATCCCAATGGATGGCAGTAGACTGCGTCCTTTTGGGCAGTTGCGGAGCCAGAAACTCCAAGAGCGAAAAGAAAATTTTGTCTTGCAGATTGATGCTGGATGTTGCCCCGGCTGTGGAGTACCGTTGCAGTGCACTGACAAGACAGCTCTGGGCTATGTCCCACCAGATAAATTCACAGAGCCTGAGGACAATGATCCTTCCAAGCCGCTGAATGCAGAGGATGAAGTGTCCTTGTTACTCAAGGAGCATGGCGCGCAGGAGAGGAATAGCTTTGCTCTCCCAACGAGATCATCTCAAAAGTTCTTCAAGGTTGTGGCCAACGTGTACTTAGATATTCGCAAGGGCCCAGATGTGAATGCAGAACGCACTGGAGACAGTCTTGTGTTTGGCGAGCAGTTTCAAATTGACGAGGTCTATAGAAGTCCAGACTCCCGGAACTACTTTCATTTGGCAGATGGGCGCGGCTGGGTTTTTGATCGTAGTGTTGTCAAAGGTGCAATGACACAACTAGTTGCTCCCATTGTCGATGATTTGGCCAAGGCCAAGCAAGCCGGAAAGGGATCGCGGCCAAGTGTTTGTATGCGTTGTTGGGGCTTATGGCAGTACAACGATTGCGATGATATTCTACGGCCTGCCTACGGTGGGAGCGGCTGTGGCCCATCTTCCGCTGAGCTCACCTCTGAAGCCTTTGAGAAGTTGTTGAGAGAGACGCTGGAGCCGGTCCAGCAGGCATGCATTTTTGCCGTCGTCGATGTTTTCGACTTCGGGCCGTCCTTCAAGCTCCTGCAGTACCTCGCCCAGGAGCTGGAGAAAAAGCCGAAGGTCCGCGTTCGAATCATTGCCAACAAGATTGACCTGCTACCCAAGGACATTTCAATGCCTAGGCTTCGTGGTTGGGTTGCACGCGAAGCCCAACTAGCAGGCCTAAGTAAGACTAAGATCATGGATGTATTCCCCATCTCATGTCACAATGGGCTTGGATTGAAGCCAGTTTCAGATTTGCTGGACAACAGCAAGAGATACGAGGACCATTATATAGTAGGAGCTGCTAACGCGGGAAAGAGTTCCTTTCTCAACCGCTTGTCACTTGTCAAGCGACGTGGTGTTGGCCGGGTGTTGTCCGAAGATCAGGGAGGCTTCGTTGTCAGTGTTCTTCCTGGGACAACCTTGCGACCTCTTGTCATGAAGTATCAGCACCCCGACTTGCAGAATTACTATATATTTTTTGGTGCTTGAAGTTCTCAACGTAGGTGCGAGCAGCACCTGCGCTTTTCCTCGACTGTTGCCCACGGAAGACTTGCAATAATTGAAGTAGGTATGCATAGACATAAATACACTTTGCACTGCTTTGTTGAACATGTTGAGGCAAAGTGGCGTGAAGCTTGTGGACATGCCAGGGCTGCTGGTTCCTGGAAGCATAGCGGAGAGGCTGACCTTGGAGGATTTGAAACAGATCATTCCCCAGAAGAAGGAGTCCCTTCGCCTCACCTTCCACATGGATGAGGGCCGGACGCTTTTGTTGGGCGCCTTGGCACGCCTGGACTTTGTCAAGGGCAGACCTTTCCAGTTTACCGTCTGCGCATCTGAAAGGTTGAAGATCCATCGGACCCGGATCGAGAAGGCAGCTCGAATTTGTCAGGAGTGGGCTGGAGATAAGCTGACTCCACCGATGGATGCCTCACGCTTTGGCGAGCTCCTGCCATGGGAACCACACCGCTTTGAGGTCACAGGGACGGGCTGGGATGAGGCCTGTGTGGATGTTGTCTTCCCTGGTTTGGGTTGGATCTCCATCACTGGATGTGGCGATTGCGTTCTGGAGGCTCATGCGCCTGTGGGTGTTGACATCACCACCCGTGAGCCTCTCCTGCCATATGAGGCTCGATGGACGGGAGTGAAATATCGCGGCTTCCCTGGATGGTAGTTTGGCTCAGTTGCTGGTGTTCATTCACACATCAGTCACATCACATTTAAGAATGCATATTCTGATAATGCCACAAGCATAGGCAACACATAGAAAACATATATTATTTGGAGAGCATTTCCCAGGTGACCCTCTCACATACGCAGGCCCTCTCTCCACATTGACCGCACCCAAGGTACAGGGTCAATGGACGCTCCACTCGTGGATTTGAGACGGGGAAAGCACGGCTGAATGTGAAGGGCAGATTCTGAGCTCGGACGAAGGGCGGCCAAAATGGGAACACGTGTGGTGCGCCAAATGTTCACGAGCAGGAAGGTTCCTTAATGACACACTGACATCCAAATAAGGTAACTGGAGCCCTGCCTGCCGATCAGCAAAGCAAAGTCAGTTGATGCGTCGTGTGGCAAGACAGTTGGGGAAGCCTAACCCATTCACACAGGATAGATAGCTTTGAATTCGCCCAGGGGGAGCTGCATCTTGCCCGCGCAGTGGCTTTGGCAAAGGATGCTGCTATGGCAGAGTTCGGGGTGCTCAGAGTGAGACTTCGGACGGAGATCCAAGACCTACACCGCAACGCCACCCATTCCAGTGGAAGAATGCCAGTCTAACACCCCCACACCCCAGCTTTGGGTAATGTTTCAGTCTTGAGCCCATCGCTATTAAGTTAAGTTTCCCTAAACATCTAGGAACCAAATCATTAGTGCGAGCGCTTCTTCACGGAAGCTTCCTTGAATAAACGTGAGCTATCCTGCGTCCTAGGTAGTAGCGTACTGGTAGCTAGTAGCCTCCTACCTCTTCTAGCGGCCTACCCCCCAGGCCCCCCAAAAATAACTTGTTCCTAGTAGCTTCTTGTTACTACTAGTAAGGCACTTGTTACTACTAGCGATGCACGTGTTCCTAGTAGAAACAAAACACAAAACAAAACGTGGCTGGGCAAAAGAAGCCTTTGCCGAGGTTCTCGCCCATTGTGAAAGGAGTCTCCGAAGTGCTCCACTCGTGCGGGCTTCAGACTGAAGTGAATTGAACCAATAGCGTCGCATAGCGTCGATTAGAACAAATAGCTTCTAAGGCAGCTACGGCGCATGGACCACTTGGAGGTAGGTGCAGTGGATGTGTTCTTCGTAGCTTTCTGACATGCTTTCTGAAATGCTTCACTCAAAGGCACAGTGGCGTTTGCTGGAGAAGCGCTGTGAGGACAGACGTCGGAGATGAATGTGACAAAGATGTCAACTGCACGGTCTCTCACTCCTTCCAAGATGAGGGTGTAACATCATATCATACCACAAGGTATCGAACGACTGAAGGTGCCGGGAGTTTGGCAATTCGCAGCCATTTTGGCTCGAAGTTTTTTGTGCTCCGTTGAAGGCCGCGAGCGGTCGGTTTTGTTCCGATGGCGGGAGTAGATGATGTCCCTCGTGATTTGGAGGGATCCTTCCTTGCCAAGAAGGAGTGGCAGTATCCAGTGGAAGACAGGTTCGGCGGAATTGTTATTGAAACGAAGAGATGCCCAAAATTGTTCAGTGCCGAATCGCAGACATTTTCAAGTTCCTCACCATCCAGTGATTGAAGAAGCACCCAGCCTGAGGTCTGGATGGCTACCAGCCGGTGCACAGGAGCTGGCAGACAACCATCCTTGGACACGTCGAGCAGTAGAGAAGAATCCACGTTTTCCAGGCACATTTGGAAAGACATGGCCCTTGACATGGCATGAAAACGATAGAGTGGAGAAGGTCTTTATAGTCGTAAAGAGGTGCCCAAACGGGTGTCAAGCGCAGCAAGGCTATGTTCCACCCGAAGCATTGTTTTGCTGGACGGAGCCTGACTTTGCCAGCTACATCAATAGTGGTGGCTTTGTGAAACCAAAGATGCGCGACTTGGCAAAACGGCAACACCATTCAAACGTTTTCTGTGTGGAAAAACAGTTTTCTAGTTGCACTTTGAGCTAGCGTGAGCTATACAGCTAATGGCAAAGGACTCATGCTGGCAAGTGTCAATGCCACACGTCACAGTAGCTTGAAGCTACTTTAGGCTCACTGACACATCTCGTATCAAGCAGCTGAGGATGTCAATACTACATCTCTCCAGAGAATCCGCAGACAATTGTAGACTTGTTAGAGCCCATCCTCAGCGAACCTCAGCCCAACCGCCTTTGTGAAAAATGTTGGTGGGCTTCCCAAGACTCGTTGCACAACAGCTCAGGAACTGAACTGGACCTGCACAGTAGACTCCAAGACAGGTCGTGAGGAAGGCCTCGCTCAAGTCACCGACTACATGGGCAACTTGCCCCAAGGGTGGAGCATCCAGCATCCATGAATCCTAAACAGAACGGATGGACTCGCAGGCACAAAGGTATATACTGTGTATATTGATGTATATTGAAGAATTGTTCCTAGTAGCGATGCCCTTGTTCCTAATAGCTTCTTGTTACTACTAGTAAGGCACTTGTTACTACTAGCGATGCACTTGTTCCTAGTAGCGCGGCACTTGTTACTACTCACACGCATAGGGCATTCATCAACATCAGCAGTCTCCTGAGCCCAGGCATGCCTGTCCCAACGCTGAAGAAGCAGGACGATGGGAGCCTAGAAGTGGTGAAACCACGAGATGATGTAGCACCCATCTTCATTTGGGAATCAAGCAGGAGCCTTGGCAGCCTGCGTCCCTCAGGTTTCCCTTTGTTTGGCTGAACTTGATCAACGCCACTTAGAACATCTTACAACCATCCGTTTGTAGGAACTCCACTTGCAGCCATCCCTTAGACTCACGCGCTCGACTCCGGTCGTCGAATCCGCCAGACTCCGCCGGCGCTGAGGAACATGATCGATCACCATCCCACTCTGAAATATCGTGGCCTGGTGAATCGCCTGACGGGGGTGAACATGTTCACTAAGGCGAGCAGAGGGGTTTGAAGCGTGTTGTGGGGGCAGATCCGGAAAAATACGCCATGCAAAACAAAACGTTCTAGTGTGCATAAGACTCCGCCAAGACAAACTGATTGCAGGTGGGCATGCTAGAGCTGATCAGGGAAAGATGTAACTTGGCAGCTCTGGCCAGTAAAAGCCAAGGGTTCAGATTGTGTTGGCAGCTCAGGCATTGAGCGTGACATTCCGATCAACTTTCCTCCTCCTTGGTATCCTCTGACTTTTACTCTTCCAGATGATTTGGAACAGTGGAAGAGGCATGCTGAAGCGAATCCTCACAAGAAGCTGATTTGGAGGTCTTGAGGAAATGTAATTTTTCTTTATATATTTGTGGCGCATGCCGGCCCCGGCTGCCTGCTTTGCGTGGCTTAACTCCACAAACTACCCCGCAGTACATATTTGGTGTTGTTTAGATGGTTAGTCAAGGATGAAGAACCACGACTAGCCATGCGAACCTCTCAAAGCTCTTCAGTTCATGAATCTTGTCGGTCCGGTTTGACCCTGGAAAAGGTTCACCAGGACTGTGGATTGCTTTCGTCATCTTTCGCCTTTCCAAGGAAGTGGATCTACAAGCCCAATGCAGAAGCCATGGGCCGCGGCATTATCCTGGTGGGGAAGATCTCGGATGTGGACTCCAGAGAGCGCCCCTTCCGAACCAGGCCAGGCGCCTCTCGAAGTGTTTCAACTCTTCCAAATTGGAGACCTGGTCAGACGTAGCCATAGATGAGAACAGGCAAATCACAAGATGCTGTTTGAAGGTTTTGAAAGTCCTCATGGACTTTCGCTGGTCTGTATCAGGTGCAAGAATGTGGAGGTTTTCGACCCCAAAGAGCCGCCGTTGAAAGAAAGAGACTTCGCGCAACTTGGATGTGTGAATGCTCCGCTAGACCCTTTGTGATGGACCTTCTGATGTCTTGGGTGATCTTAATTGATATCTATATACTATACTATTTCTTCACAAGGAGCTATTCAATGAGGCCATTCGAATGAGGAAAAAACTTATTTAGCTATTTGCCGTCGACTTGAGCCGAGGCATTACGGTGTGATCCAAGAGTACATGGTCAACCCTCTACTTTTGGAGAACCGGAAGTTCGCGGTCCGGGTCTTTATGCTTGTTGCCAGAACGAACCCTCTCTTGGTCTTCCACTACAACTTCGGCTACATCAAGCGTTGTGGAGAGTTTTACGATGAGAACAAATTCAACCGTGAAGATTTGTTTCGACACATTACAAACCAGGAGTTCCAAAAGAAGCGAGATGATTTCACTATGTCGGCGGCAGCAGAGTTGATGTCCATCGAAGACTTGGACAAGTATTTGCAGGAGCACTATGGTATTCCAGCTTTCCGCCTGAACTTCTGGCAACAAGTGAAATCAATTTGCATGGAGGCTGGGATGCGAAACGAATCACAAAGGGATCCAGAAGATATGAGATGACGAGCTTTTTGCTATGTAAGCGCATCTGGGATAAGAGGGAATCCTGCACCCTGTATGTCCTGCATGTAGGTGACCTTGGGAATGAAAGAGGGCATTGCTGAACGTGGCAAGCTTGGGCAGTTCGAGCTCTTTGGCCTCGATGTGATTGTGGATGCAGATCAGAGGGTATACCTCCTGGAGGCCAATCGAGATCCATCCTGGGTCATTGATACCGAAGTCAAAAAGAGAATCCTTCCTGACATGGTTCGAGAGATGAGACTTGGACCGAATCTTATTCGAGATCTGTTCGAGATCTCGTGGCACACCCTGAAGCTCGGAGTCTGTCATGGCACCCTGACAATGAACAACACAGCGAAGTACCGGACATCACACTCGCATGGTTTTTGGGTTTTCTTTTTGGGGTGCGGGGTGCCAGAACCCTAGTCCGGCATCGACCCACACGCATGAAGCACAAAGCAGCTGCAGCTAAAGCATATCAGGCACATCATCATGTTTGCATTTTGCATGTTCCCTCGCGTTTTCGTTGCAGTGTCCTGGTGAGGATGGAGATAACTCTTTGGGCGCACAGTGACGAGGGGAAAAATAAGGAAGCCATGCTTCATTCTCCAATGAGAGGCTTTGAGGTTTTGGTGGATGACGCCTTTGACTTTCAGGCCGTGGATGTGGAGTGAGGAGAGGTCAAGAAGGCAAAACACAGCTTCCAGACATGCGTCGCATGCCGCATGCGTGTGCTCAAAAGAGGTGGCCTTGACTGCGTTGAGCGAGGTTGAACATTCAGATACTGCAGACCAGAGTGAGGGATGGCACATTTGACGTGCGTCGCTGATCAATCCTCACTTTGGCATTAAATGCACATGTGTGTCTTGCCAGGAGATGGGTGAGCCGCCAGCCGTGACATTGGAGGGTGAGATGCTGCAGATTTCAACAAGGCACGCCGGTTTTACTGTTCCAAGTTCCAAGATTGCGTTGATGTTCGATAGGTTAGTCATAAAACCGTGCATAGCATGCATTATATTAATGTGTACTAGCACCCTTACCCGCACTCCTGTGAACACATATGAACATCCGCCACAGAGGGGTGCATGGTTTTGATGACCCATACCCTCAAATGCAAAAGATGTTGCAGACATATTCCTGGCAGCAATGTGACAACTCACAAAGTGATCCACACCAGTCATGCCGAGGGCGTTGCCCTTCATATTCATTTGATGTTTGAGACCTTGTGATTTGGCCACATTCTTGTGTGTATTCTTGTCGGCTACATTTTTCACTCTCGCAGGTTGGCTGACTTGGAAGGACGAACAGGCAAGTTGGTGGCGGGTGGGTGGCCATGGTTGGGGACAATTCAAAAGATTTGGCCCTGAGGCCAGGAGCCGCAAGATCCTCAGGAGAAAAGACCAAAGCCGAACCAATGACGAATGCCGGACTTCTGTTTTAGTCTCACTGCGGAGTGCCATCCGGACCACTAGCACATGAAACTTGTTATTGACATCATCCTTTGTGGGGAAGTTAGTGCCACCAGCGCAGTCCCTCTGAGAAGATTGCTGTTGCTGGTGCTGGCTTGCAGATGTTTGGCCCGACTCACGTAGCTGTTCAACAGGAACTAGGCTAGTTCCAACACCTTCATCCATCACATTGTTGTGAGCTCTATTTGCCGCGAAGTCTTGCAAACGGATGAGCCGGCCCAGCTCGGCACTGTGTGCGAACTAAGGCATCGTGTCTCTGTACAGCAGGGCTGGAGTGCCGACACTGAGTTCACAGAACGCCAACTTGAAACAAAACCCGTCTCGGAGCCTAATCTTTAAGAGCTTCTTGTTACCAGTGGCAGCGTCCTTGCTCCTAGTAGCGATGCCCTTGTTACTAGTAGCGATGCCCTTTGTTACTAGTACTGACTCAGCAGTGCTGGCATCCCCACGAGTGTGGATCCACTGCCCGTTTGCTCAACTGATCGTTGCAGCGAAAGTGGCCATCGGAATGGTCATGCGATGACCTTTCATCTCTGCCCCATTTTGACAGCACCACTCACCCATCTCCCACGTTTCTTTTTCCCCTTCTTGTAGGTCGAGATAATCGAGGTATTTCGGCATGGTATATATGTTATTTGCCGCATAGTGGCTGGTAATTATCATGTATGTTTGGGTGCCAAGATCTGTGTCACAGGGCTGAAACGAATCAGATGAGGAAGTTCTGCACTTTAAGGCTACACAATCTCTTGTGAACGAGTAGCTAAGTAGCTCGAGAAAGTGCCTGACCTGACAGGCCAAAAAGTGATCTTACTTGTTGTTCGGAGCTATGAGATGTGGACATCCCAAAGCTGATTGCAGGAAAGCAGCATGAGCTGGAGATCTCGATCTCGTGGCTTGTTTGTGAAGCGTGTCGATGAGTGTGGTTGAAGACACGCGTCGGCCGCGGGTGCTTGTTGTGGGGCACTCAGGTCAATTGCACAGAAAACGGAGCTTCTGGAGCAGGACACTGGCAGACGTGCCAGGGGTAGACCTCCCTAACTCTCCATGCTGTCCTGCAACAAGTGGCTGGTGGCTGGGGCCGGAGTTGAAGGATGGCCGGGAGCTGCGGCAACGACTTGAAGAGATACAGGAGAGAAGTCCGGAGCTCGAAGTTCTAATGATTCTAATGATGTGCTTTTCAGCACTCGTTGACCTTGGCACCCTGCTTTTGTTTGTGTGAGGCAAATGTCTCAAGGCGTGGCAGGAGGCAAAGGAGGAGCAGAACCGTCTCTTGGCTTCAAAGGTAGCTTCAAACCTGAGTTCTCTTAGCTTTAGCTTCGAGGGGAGTCCTCCCACCAGCCCGGATTGGGGTCATGGGTGGGCGCTTTGTTACATGAGTGTTCTGTGTACAGTAGGCATGTTGCTCCTCATGCTTTTGCTTGTTGCCTCCCCCGCGCTGGAAGCAAACGGGCGGCCCCAGTCTAGATGTTCTGCTGTTGCCTGCCTTAGCCCATCGCAATTGAGTCCTTTGATGTCCTTCGTGATAATTCTTATTCACTGTTGACAGCGCTGTGTCCTCTGAGGGGGTGGGGTCTGCAGCAAGGGGTAGTAGAGGAGTGCCTGTTATCCGACCTTTGCCCTTTTGCAGGCGAATTTCTGGAACGCTTTGAGCGCATAAATGTTGAGACACAGCTGAAAACATTGCTGCTTGGCTATCACAGAGGCTACTGATGGTCGTTGGTGTAGTTGTGTCCTTGCACCGTTCAGGATAGAACCAAACTTGAAGGATCTTGAAGGTATTTCAGGATCAGGCTTCAAAGCAGGGGAGGAATGATGTGCGAGCGGCTCTGCCACGAGGCAATTGAAGCTTCAGGAAGTGTTGAAGAGCGCACAGCAACAGCAAGAGTTTGCTGAAGTCCTGGAAAAGCGAATCGAAAGCCAAGAGTTCGAGGCTGGTCTCGTTTTAAAGGCATCATGGATTCCTTTGGACTGTGGAGCACCCAAAGCTCGTCCTTTTAAACTTCAACCACTTTGGGTGACCAGGTGCTGATGACGCTGACACACTCACCCACCTTTGGGCAAAAAAGACTAAGATACGAATGAGAATAGAACGGGAGGAAAGGCAGAGTTGGCGACGTCCTAGCCAGGCTGCTCACCGTTTGGAACGTTTCGATAGCAGACGGTCCATGCGGCAGGAGCTCTGCTGGATTAGTCTCGGCGTGTTGAACAAGAGTCCGAAAGATAATCGAATTGAATGGAGGCCTTGAAATTCAGTCAGGCATGAATCTCTCACACACACATATTAACATAAATATGAAGATAAATATATATATATATATGTATATACACATGTACATACCTGTATGTTCACACACACATATATATATATATACATACACACTTATGTATTTGGCCTTGACTGAGCCAGGAGTCAGTACAGCAACGAGTGGACGCAGCCGAGCAGCGCATTGAGGTCGGGTAGAGCGAGTTCCACCATGAAACTAGCTTGCCAGAAACACACCAATGGTAGGTGCTTCATATTATTGAATCCCGGGAGGGCCCACAGCTGCAGCGCAGTCCTAAGACATCTAAGACACAACTCTTTGCCGGAGGCCTGCTGCACGAGCTTGGAAACAGTCAACAGCTGCTTGATGAGCTTAGAGCAGGCCGTATGTCGTGATTTTCCGAGCGGCAACTTGGACCTGTGTGAGTTGGCGGTGCGTCTCGCTCGTGGTCTCATGGCCAGCGCTGTGCTCTTGATTGCTTGGCTGGCTTTTGATAAGGTGAGAGCACACCACCCAACAAGCCGCGGCCTATGTCTTCGAGTCCTGAGACAGAAACGCTCAGGGCACGGGCATCGCGACATGAGTAGCACAGGCAGCAGAGTAGCACTTACACTATTTGAAGCTTGCACCTATACAACCTGCAGGAGCGTAGTCCCCCCCAGTTTATTTCTCATTCCTCTCTCCTTTTTGCTCAAGCAGGCAGAACGAATTGGATTTATATATATATAATCCAGGCATATCTAGGCAAGCAATCAGTAAGAAGCGGGATTATTTGTGCATGAGGCGTGCTTAGTGAAATGATGCCAACCTCCAGTTTCACAAGTCAAATGGTCAAGACGACCCAGGACACTATCGTTTGAAGTCTCACGACTTAAAAGGATCCATCTTCTAGCAGGGTAGGGGCTAGAGGCCCGACTTGCTTGGCCCAGCCTACTTAGCCCAACTTGCTTGGCAAATTCTGTTTGAACTGGTTTCTGTGTTTCTGCTCGGTTGTGTGAAGGTGCGAATGCGACGTCAGCTGCTGGATGCTTTGTGCGAAGTGCGCGCTTTGGAGGCTGCGCGCGTCTGAAGGTTAAGTTACTTGTGACTACTAGCTTCTTGCTAGTACTAGGAGCCCCTAGTAGCGTCTTTGCTCCTAGTGTTGAGGCCTGGAGCCCCTAGTAGCGTCCAAATCTAGGAACCAAATGATTACTGTAGTGCGAGCGCTTCTTTCCATTTGTTGCTCCCTGGCCCTTCCGCAGGTTGGTCTAGGACGGCAGGCCCAATTAGCGGCAGCCTTGGACCTCATTCGCTCACATGGTATGGACACTTCACCTTCTCGCGATATCTGGGACAAGCTTGGCATTAAGCAACACTTTCGTGGCAATACTTTGATGTATCATTACAGAATATCACGGATATTAATAGTGTGATTCTTCGCAATCCAAATGTCCGAGACGCAAATTCTGAGCATCCTCATGCACAATGAAGAGACCGACATCTCCAGACATGACCGTGAAATGTGATGATGAAGGTTGGCGCCATTGAAAACCTGCGAGTCTCTGTCAGACGCCCAGGCATTTCTTGTGAAGGCGATGTGACTGACAAGTCCGACCGTCTTCTTGTCCCGAGATACCTTTGCCGAGGATACGTTGCCAGACCTTGCAGCCGAGCTGGGAGATGTCCCCTCTTCAAAGGATGGGACCTGAAGATAGCCGTGAAAAGACGGGCTTCTTGGAAAGACTCAGCACACGCACACGCACATGCATCAACATATCATATCATATATGCATTAAAAACAATATATATATATATACACACATGTACACATGTTTAATTACATGTATATTAACTTGTTTTTGCAAACAGCCGTTACCAAGATATCGTTTGAGGAGGAGTGCTGCGTAATTGTTTGAACCTGCCAGGGTCCTGCGCCACTCTTAGCTGCAGAGGCCATGTGCCGGGAGCCTCACAGACATCATGCGAATCCATGCATGGCCTCACGTCTCACGTGACATTCTCGCCAAGCTGACAAGCCATCCGCATTGTCATCCTCCCAGAGCATTGAGATGATCGGATCCATGTGCTTTTTCGCTTTGTCCTGCTAAACTCAGTCTCCTTTGGGCACCTGGACTTCTCCTCTGGTGCCGGCGTGCGGAGCCTGCTCGAGGCCACGTGCTCGGCCACACCGCAAGCATCGTGTGCGAAGCTTGACCATCGGCAGGTGGATCATATGCACGAGCTGCACCATGCAGTGCAGCACCAAATCTCTGGAAAGTGGCTGCTAGCAGCTTGGAATGAACAAGTTTTCCACTGTACGCGCGTGCTGGAATGCCTCGAGCATTTCATTGGGCAGAAGATGGCTGAGAATTGCTGGGCCCTTTTGCTGATAGGTTGGGTGCATACTATACAATGCGCTGTTGGGTGACAGCGCCATGGCAGCATAATTTTTGAGGCAGAAGCAGACGAACACTTGGTGAGGGGCTTGGTCCCTCTAGAGCAGCTATGCACTGACTTGAAGCTGCAGGTCTCTTGCGCAGGGATTTGGATAACTGCAAAGGCCCGATGGGAAATGGACACATCCTGCAGACTTCGTGTCCACCATGCAATCCATTCATGGACAAACAGTTTTGCAAAGAAATGCTTAGGAATAGCTCGGCAGACCATCTGTCAGGAAATCAGAAGGCTTGCATGGGAAGGCTCGCTGCTCAGTTTTGGGAATTGCAAGTGGTGAAGTTTAGATCGGTCTAGCACCTCAAGGTTCGACTTTGTGCAGTATTTGACCGTAAATGGGAGTTGTGCAACTTCAGCTGCTAGCCTTTTGTCAAGTCTCATGCTGGCAGCCTCTCTCCGAAGCTGGCCCTTCTTTTGATGATATTGAATCATTCAATCATAGCGACTTGACATTGCTTGTTGAACGCTTGAGCTTTGTCCCGTTGCTCCTTTTCGGCATCATTTCCATGAGAGGGCAGCTGAAGTCATTGCAAGCCAGAAAGAAAGACTTCTGCCACTTGTGCCCTCAAATGCTTTTGTTTGTCAGGCTAGCCTAACATAGTCTAACAACTCATGGACGTAACATACAGTCTAGCAGTTTTGTTGCATTTTGTCCCGCATCTGCCCCACAAGTCCTATGGGTCGCCCAAGTGGCACAGTCGCGACCTGTGACTCCGTGACCGGATCCGACCGGCTGTGACCGGCGAGCGGCCAATGTTGAGAAGAGACCCGCATCACGCACGTCTCAAAGAGACGAAGGTGGAGCTCTCAAGGCAAAGAACTCTGACGGCCTCCAAGGATTTGCAATTGCAGTCGGACACCGCGAAGCTACTTCAAGCTGTAAACCTTCGCCATCGAGAGGCAGAGCTAGCAGCGGAGCTTGAGTGTGCAGGGGCACAGCATGATGAAGAACTGCAGGCACAGGAGCTGCAATTGAAGGAGCATCACCAAAGTGAGTTGGTCAGCAAGCTGATGCAAGCGGAGGAAGACGAACGTAAAACTTTGCATGAGCAGGCCTTGCTGGCAGAGACGGCATCCGTTCGATTGCTGCGCGATCCTATGGCCTTTGATGCAGAGGTCAAGGAAGAGACAAGAAGCCAAGAAGAAGAGATGAAGATGTCCAGACTTCAGATGGCTGCGATTCGAGAGGAACTCCTGAGTGCTCACGATCATGTGCGGAGTTGGAGGCAGGAACGAGATGGCGAAGCTGAAGCTGCAAGTGTTGCCCATGAGGCGTACCTGGCTGAATCCCGGGCGTCTTTGCGTCAGCATGAGTCTTTGAGGGCAGAGGCTCGCACACGGCTGTCAGAGGTGGCCTCGTTGGAGGACTTTCAGCGAAGCTTGGATGCAGAAACCAAAGTCCTGCAGAATGAGCTTGGCAAGGTGGCTTACAGCATTGGACAGCGGGACCATGAGCTGAAGATCAAAGACTCAGAGCTGCAAGAGGTTCGGAGCAGTCTCGTTGGCATTCAGGATGAAATGGATGAAGTCAACACTCAGCTCAAGGTCCAATGCCAACGTGTCCAGCGGGTGGAACGGGAAGTTTCTTTATCCAGTGATCTGGGTGAGAAGGTGAAGAATATGCGCCACATGCTGCAAGAGTCCCACAGTGGCATTGCACAACTTTGTAACCTAATTAATCAAGAGAGACAGAAACATGATCAATATCTTCAAGGGCTGAAGCAGCAAAGGCTGCGAACTGAACTCCTTTTGCAGCTTCTGCATCACTTCAAGAATCGCACCCAGGAGCTAGCTCCCCGATCTATTCTCGGAGGGGGAGATTTCAGTGGTGTAGATGTGCCACAAGAGCCAATGACTCCAGATCCACGCATGCACGGGTAGAGCAGAAAATAGATATGGCTTGGACCTCCACACTCTCAGTTCACAGTAACAAATTTGACTTTGATTGACTTTGTAAGGTCCGGGTTCAAGTTGCTCGTTGTTTCTTGCGACTCTCATTTTAGTAAAGGCCCTGGCCGCCACCGGAGGAGCTGGAGGACCTCCAAAGCCTGACACACTCAATGCTGGTTGGATAGCTAGATTTGCTGTTGCCTGATTTTGGTGCCCGAGTGCTGCTCACATAGATGCAAAAACAGACGCACTGCCAGGAGCCACTCCCCAAGATCACACCAAAGCTGATGCAATGGCCTGGAGCTGTCCGAACAGCCCCTTGTCGCTGCGCTCTCCGCGGGGCTGCGACGGGCGCGCCAAGTCGCCAACCCGCAAAGCACAAGATGCACAAGCACATGAAAGCACCCGAAAGCCCAAAAGCGAATGTTTTTTCCTCGATCAGAGTGTGGACAAGATGTGATTTTGGTTGGCAAGCTTTTTGTTCTTCCCTCCCTCCCTCTCTCTCTCACAGGTTTGTTTTCTACCCCAGTCAAGGTAGATCTTTGAGCACCTAAGGTGGTTTACACCCAGGTGGGTGCCTCGATGCGAGAGACGGTGCGTGGCCTTGCTCGGCAGGTGGAGCTTCTACCCACGGTGCCTTGGTTCGACCGAAGTGATCAATGTTCCAAGGTAACAGCACTTATACCAGCGGTTCGAGCTTGTAACAACATGTGTACCAGCCTTTATGGGTGTCATGTACTTTCCCATCTCCATTTCAAGCGGTATGGAATGCAGTTCCCATTGCTTGGCATTCTGAAGAACCCCTTGTTTTTTTGGGGGCGACCTCCTGAAATCTTCGCCTTGAGGCCGTTGTTTTTGAACCGGTCGGAACGTGTTGAGAGCACAACCTAGTTTGAAGGAGTTGTGAGGCCTTGTTGGGACTGGACTGGCCAATGATTTGAGGCGGATTCAAGAACGAGCTGTTTGGCAACTTGCCTTTTGTCTTTAGTCAAGACGGTTCAAGTGTAGAAACAGCAGACACTTCAGAATGAGATGTAGTGTCTTTTGGTCCTGGCAAGTCGTTCCCGGCACATCAGCAGAGCATGCATATTCAGTGGTGCTTGAGTCAGAGCTACTTTTGGATGTTTGAGCATCAGGGTTGCGGTGAACCAAAGGAGAGAAACAACCCCTGTGCTGACGAATTTGGTCTTCACATAATTGGTCTTTGCATATCACTTTGTTCAGAACATGCTTCATTCACTATACAATGAATATCATATATAAATATAGATTTGAACAGCGACAACGCAAGTAGGTGGTATAGCAAAGGTGAATGTTTTGCCAACATCACCTTGAACATGTCATCCTGTAGGAGGTAGGTTCGACCAATCAGAAACGAGACATCATCCAGCCGGAGGCGATCTACCGGTGCCGCTCTCTGGCATATAGCAGTCTCTTCATGCTGGAGCGGGGATGTGACCTCCTCCTCCGTGTTCAGGCGGCAAACCGGGATGTGCTTGGGACCTACAGCAGTGCTGCAAGGTAGCCAGTACCTGACCGTTGAGAGGGCACCGTGAGTGTTGGATAGCTTAGGCTTTGGTAGTCTCGGAATATTCTTTATGAGGCTGAATAGTGTTTCCTCACATTTGGGAGTGGCGCTCAAATTTGCCCGCCAGGCCGCTCGCAGCTGCGCAGGGCTGCGGTCCTTGGCCTCCATCCTTCCACCGCAGCTCTCCCCCTTCAAGATTTCAGTTGATGCTTGGGCCAAGCTATTTTTGCCCAGCACACTGGGCCTGTTCGGACCAGAAGAAGTCGCCGTTCTTCCCTTGGCCAGGCAGCGGCAGAATGTAGGGGGTCACATAACACTGGAAAAAGGTCCCCTTACACGGTCACCAAGTATGTTTCGCTGTTGCACCAAGTTTCTTTGGGAGAGCACTCTTCTTGCTCTTGCGATCAGAGCTGAAGCAAATATTCTGAGGAAGGGCGTCGCCGCATGCTGCTGGAGAGTGACGGGACGGTGCAGAGCATTTTTCATGTCCCGCAGGTGGAGGAGGTGGGATCGTTCCATACGAGAAGGTATGGTCTGGACATAAGGACGGGACATGAGGGACACTGTGCAGAACTAAAACAGTGCGCAACGCTGCCTGTGTAAGCTGATGGCCACATTGCACAGTACGGAGGCAGTGCGTAACATGCAGTTCGTCAATAGCTGTGGTGTAAGCTGCATTGTAAGCCGCGGCCGTGCATAAATGCAAAGTCACACAAAAACACCGTTTGGAAGTGGCAGGTAGGTTCACACAAACCAACCTCTTGAGCGCAAGCTAAAGCTGTGATTACCGTTGGCAAAGCGGCAGCGATGGCGTAAGCATCACATCCTGCGGATCATTTGCTTAGACCTTTTTGATGGCGCGTCTGAGAGGTTTGCGAGACCCGTTTGCCAAATCCGTTTGCGAGATTCTTCTGCGAGACCAGCGCGCCAACAGCGCCTCAGCGCCACCGGCCCGCTCGCAGCGCCACAGCGCCATTCATATTCGCACCGGCCCTCCCCAACCTCACGTTTTTGGCCCACGCTGGACATGTGAGCAGTTGCTGTAAGCGCAGAAGTTGCAGATCGAAACTTGTGCAAGACAGCAGTTGACTGACTCTGAAAAGCTCGGGCGTGATCTTTTGCATGGCAGGTCCTTTACCTCCGTGGAACTGAGTGCCCTTCGATTGGGCGGCATGTTCGCGACTGTGAGGCCTAGTGGGTGGTTACAACAGAATCAACGGATTTTTTTTCTCATGCCAGTGCTGAAATTCGTACCGAGGACCAGTCATAACATTCTTGGCAGAAAAAGCAGGAAAACCGGAAGATGCATGTTGTTAGAACATGCTAGAAGTAGGAACATCATACTAAGTCACACTAGTAGGTAGGTATCCGGGTACGTTCACCTGACAAGGTCTCCATGCCGGAGCCGTTTGCACAGCTCACTGAGGCGGAGACGGCGGGTGGGATGTATTCAATGTATTCCACCCGTAGACACACCGTGGTACGCAGACAGTCTCATTGTTGCACCTGGCGTGTGACAGAGATCACGACCACAGAACAACATCAACCGGGTTTACCAGAGACCGGCCAGGTGGAAGAGGCTGAGGCGAAGCTGCTTCCCCACGATCACCCGGTTTTGCCACCGCAGATCGCGTCTTGGACCGCGACATAGCAGAATGGATCCAAGCAAAACTGGAACATGCTCCGAGGGCAATATACATTAGAGCATTGGGTCGGCCTTGGGTCAATAGTGAATGAATGGCTACTTGGCTACCTTGCTTTTGTGTACTTCCGACCCCATATGTAGCGGTACTTGCAGGTTGTAGCAGTTGTCCTGTACTTGTATTTGCATGTGCAGGTCGTTGGCAGTTCTACCTCTGCCTGGGCACAACCCACGGTACCCGTCTCTTTCACAGGCTCGGAATGGGGAAGCTTTCTTCACTCTGCCCGTCTCCAGCCGTGAAACCAAGACCCGCCCTGCTTGCGAGCTTTGTATTTTTTCATTCCTCTCTGATCATGCTTTGTATGTAATGACATGTATATGGTGCCCAGAAGGTGAAGTCATAGGTGTCCCAACATCCAACAGCTAAGCAGTGGTGTCGCTCATGCGGCAGGCACAGCTGTGTCCACAATGCTTTTGCTGCATGAGATTTGTGCGATCACCGGTCTAGCCATGCACCTTGGCTGGGACTAGTGCAACGACTGGGATGCTTTTGCCTGTGTTTTCTTTTCTTCAGGTTCTCCGCCAGCATGTCCGGAGACCAAATCTTGCTTTTGCAAGCGCTGCACGCCGTTGAGGCGCTTGTTTTGTTCGGTCCTTGAGACTTGACAGATGTGCGAGTTTGTCTCAGACCTGAGACAGATTATCCTCTTACCCACACACTAATTACTTTGCTTTATACTGTAACTCTACGTCCTGCTCTAGCCAATGTTTTGAAGAAAAGCATTCCTGGACACTTCCTTTCCTTTAGAATTTTCAGGCTGCTTGGGGAAACAAAGCTCAACGTGCTGCTGCTGAGCATGTGTGGCTTGGCCCGTCGGTCCAGAGTTCTACAGTAACAGGAGTGCGCACAACCAAGGTTGTCACAGTCTATGTTGGACACGGCCCAGATCGACAATTGTGAGCGCCACCCAAAGCCAAGAAGTCTCGAGCAGAGGACCTGGGACGCTCTGGAACACGCATCTTGAAGCAATTTGTTTGCTGCTTCTGCTCTGGGCACAGCGCCAGCAATACCTTCTGATCACCCAAGGTACGAGCCGACTTTTTGCTACTCGAGGCGCAGGTGAAAGCACTTCGAGAGGAGAGACACCAGGCCATGCGAGCCATGCGACTGCAGGAACTGGGCGCTATTTATGGGCTTTGTGGTCAGCGGGTCAAGAGTTTTTTTTGTCACAAGGGCATCGCTACTAGTAGCAAGAAGCTACTATATAGGTGGAGGCCATCGCTATTAGGTTGGAGGCCATTATATACCACAAGTAGCGCGAAGCTACTAGTAACAAGTGCATCGCTAGGGAATGTGTTGGAATGTCGGGGATCCTTGACACCAAACAGCGATGCGAGGTGAGGCCCGTGCTGCAGCTCCTGCGCCAGCAGCATCGATTCCTCAAGCTGGGAGCGCTTGTTCCGTGGGCGGCATCTCATGAATGGTGGGAAGGAGATTTCATGTGACACCTCACCCAGTGCCACTATCCAAGACCAATTGGCACTTGAAGCTCAACTATCTGAGGTGCTGTGTCGAGAAGCCTGGCACGCTGCAGTGCAGAAGAAGTGGTTACCAGAGGATGGGCAAGCTTTGCTGTGTACCATAGTTGTTTGGTAGAACTACAGACCTTTGACTGGCTTTGGGGTCCTGTGTTCTGTAACAGACTGTGAAGCTCCCTACACGGAACGTATGCACACCAAAAGATCGGCGCCAACTACCTCTTATTTTTCCGCTCTTCCCCGGTGTGCCAGGCGGCCGAGCTTCAGAGATGGGCATTACATTTGGAAGGCTTCCCACTGGAAGGAGGTTGCCCCTTGGCATTGAACTCCCGTGTAAGATA